CAGTGCTGTCAGGTTCAGGTGCTGATTACAGGCTATTAACTTTGATGTCGCTCCATTTCCTCAAATTGAACCTTTCCAAAACCGAGCTCCTAGTTTTCCCCTCAGCCTGCGCCCCCCCATCCTCTCCATCACGACCAACAACGCCACCATCAATCCCACCCCGCAAGCCAAAGTCCTAGGTGTCACCCTAGACTCAAACCTGTCCTTCCAACCCCATGTCCAATCGCTGGCAAATTCATGCAGGCTCCACCTCCGCAACATCTCCAAGATACGTACGTTCCTAACCCCAGAAATTACTAAACAACTCGCTCACTCCCTTATTATCTCACGCCTGGACTACTGCAACTCCCTTCTCACCGGCCTACCCCAACACAGACTATCCCTGCTTCAGTCTATCCTGAACTCAGCGGCCAGACTCTCCCACCTTACCAACCGCTCCCATTCTGCCACCCCCCCCTCTGTCATTCCCTCCACTGGCTTCCGATTGCCCAATGCATTAAATTCAAACTACTAACATTGACATACAAAGCCATTCATAATGCTGCCCCAAACTACCTCACCGACCTGATACCCAAATACCAACAACCCGTACTCTTCGCTCCTCACAAGACCTCCTACTTTCTAGCTCCCTGGTCTCCTCCTCCCACGCCCGACTGCAGGACTTCTCCAGGACTTCCCCCATCCTTTGGAACTCTCTACCCCAATCCATCAGACTGTCACCTACCCTCCTCACCTTCAGGCGCACTCTGAAAACCCATCTCTTCAAGGAAGCCTACCCCACCCTCACCTAACAGCCGATCTCCTCCACTCCTCCTACCACTCCATCCCCCACAGCCACTTCCTCCTGTACCACTATCCCCTCCCTCCTAGATTGTAAGTTTGAAAGAGCAGGGCCCTTGAACCCCTCGTGTATCGTTTTGTTACTGTACTGTCTCATGTACTGTCCCCCACTATAATGTACAGCGCTGAGCAAAACTTTTTGGCGCTATATAAATACTGTATAATAATAATAGGAACCGTTTCTAAACTGCATATGTGTGAACAGGATAAAATCCTGACCTGAAACTGTCCTGAACCTGATGTAAACCTGACCGGGAAAACAGCTAAACAACTACTGTGTCAATTTCCCGTGAAACCTGAGCCTCAATCCGCACAACTCTAAAGGCTCTTTCACACAAACACTTCATGGGGTCTGCCTGCCCGTTTTTCAGGCAGACCCGATCGGAACCTCCATTCTCCTCTATCGAGCAGTGGGTGTAAACAGATATGTGTCTGTTTACACCCACTGACATCCAATCTGATCTGCCAAAAAGGGATGGATGGAGATCCAATTCCCCTTCCATTCGCCAGATTGGAGCAGATGAAACAGACAGGCGGCTCATTTTCATCCGACCACCCATTGAGGAGACTAGAGATGAGCGAATTATTCAAAAATTCGATTCGACTGATTCGGCGAATTCGTGAAAAAATTTCGATTCGAGTCGAATATATTCGCTGCGAATTTAACTTATAAAAGGGTGTTTCTAGGCTTCAGAGAGCCTTTATATTAGTGCAGAACACTGTACCTTTAATTTAAATGCCCTTGGAGTCTGCTGGGGAAGAGAAATAATACTGACAGTCAGTATGACATGCAGATGAGTGCCGTCGATCTTAGAATCACCGCACACTTCACTCATTTGGGCAGTCACGGGGCCAAAACCAGAGTGTGGAGCCACAGTGTGTGGCGGTGGAGGCAGCAGCAATGGGAGGCCATACAGCACCCTATGACAAAAAATGGAAACCACCAGCAGTGTGAGGAGACCTGAAAGTGGAACATGGCAGAGTGTGGCGATGGAGACAGCAGCAATGGGAGGCCGTACAGGGACCCATGACACACTCTGGACCTGGCAGCAGCATGAAGAGGTGGTACAGGGGCCCATGACAGATTACGGGCACTGGCAGCAGCATGAGGAGTTGGTATGGGGGCCCATGGCAGATTACGGGCCTGGCAGCAGCAATGGGAGGCCGTACAGGGACCCATGACACACTCTGGACCTGGCAGCAGCATGAGGAGGCGGGTACAGGGGCCCATGACAGATTACGGGCCTGGCAGCAGCATGAGGAGTCGGTACGGGGGCCCATGACACACTCTGGACCTGGCAGCAGCATGAGGAGGCGGTACAGGGGCGCATGACAGATTACGAGCCTGGCAGCAGCAACTTGGACAGGAGGACGTTCAGCTCTGCACCGTCGGGTGCATGCTCGCAAACTGTTGTCTCTTGGAAACGGATTCCAAGAAAAGACTGCTGACGGAATCCGTGAAGAGGAGTATCAGGAGAAGGAGCATCTGAACGAGCGGAATATGCCAACAAGCGACAACAGGGGCCCATGACAGATTAGGGCCTGGCAGCAGCATGAGGAGTCGGTACGGGGGCCCATGCAGATTACGGCCTGGCAAAAGCAGCAATGGGAGGCCCGCCGTAATCTGCCAGCACCCTATGACAAAAAATGGAACACACCAGTCAGTGTGTGAGGAGACCTGAACTGAATGGCACCTTGCAGAGTGTGGGACGATGGAGACAGCAGCAATGGGAGCCGTACAAGGACCCTGAGAGACTCTGGACCGGGCAGCAGCATGAGGAGCGGTACAGGGGCCCATGCAGATTAGGGGCCTGGCAGCAGGCTATGATGGAGGCCCGTAATCTGCCAGCACCCTATGACAAAAAAATGGAACACACACACAGTGTGGGAGACCTGAAAGTGGCCACATGGCAGAGTGTGGCGATGGAGACAGCAGCAGATGGAGGCCCTTACAGGGACCCAAGGAGGACTGTAGGAGCCATGGCAGCAGCATGAGAGAGGCGATACTGGGGCCTCATGGCAAGATGATTAGGGGCCTGGCAGCAGCACAATAGGGAGATGCCCGTAAATCGGCCAGCACCCTATGACAAAAAAATGGAACACACTCAGCAGTGTGTGGAGGAGACCCTTGAATAGTGGCACAAATGCCAGAGTGTGGCGATGGAGACAGCCAGGTAATGGGAGGCCGTCACAGGGATCACATAGAGAGACTCTAGACATGGCAGCAGCAGGAGGAGGCGGTTTTTACAGGGGCCCATGGCAGATTAGGGGCCTGGCAGCAGCTATGGGAGGCCCGTAAAAAAAAATTCCCCGTTTTTGCCAACAGCACCCTAAGAACGAAAAAAATGGAACACAACAGCAGTTGTGAGGAGAACTGAAAGTGGCACATGACAGTGTGTGGCTGGATGGAGACAGCAGCAATGGGAGGTCCGCCGTACATGGAACCCATGAGAGTCTGTTGGTCCTGGGCAGCAGCATGAGGAGGCGGTACTGGGCCCATGGCAAGTTTACGGGGCCTGGCAGCAGCAATGGGAGGCCCGTAATCTGCCTCAGCACCCTATGACAAACACAAATGTAACACGACCAGCGTGTTGTGAGGAGACCTGAAAGTGGCAGCATTGGTCATGGAGTGTGGCGAATGGAGACAGCGAGCAATGGGAAGGCGTGTTCAGGGGACGCCGATGAGACACTCGTGAGGACCTGGCAGCAGCTATTGAGAGTGCGGTACAGGGGCCCTTGGCAGATTAAGGCCTGGCAAGGCAGCCAATGAAGAGCCCGTATATCTGCCAGGCACCCAATGACAAAATGGAGACCCTGGCCTGGGGGCAGGCACGAACCGCAATAGCGTGTATCACGGTTTTCCCAGGGCAACGAAATGGCTACGCTGCGTATGAGTGAGCGCAATCGCTGTAGTCTCAACAACATGGGCCCCCTGGCCACGCTTGAACTTTCTGGGGCCCACATAGCTCGACATACGGCTACGTTTACCTTCCGTCGGCGCGCGGCTGACGAAAAAAATTGCCTACACCGCAGAGTAGGGGAAACATTTGCCCCCGTCGTAACTCCTCACTGGCTGTCTGGACTGCTACTTTCCTTCGGGCACGACAGGGCACCACTACTGGCCTTGGTGGTAGGCTGCAGTGGAGGCTGTGTGCGCTACCTCCGTGCCCCAGATTGCCTCTACTGACTCTGCTGCGTAACCCTGCTTGCCATCCTGCAGGCAGCTCAATGGGAGGCCGTACAGGGACCCATGATCACACGCTGGACCTGGCAGCAGCATGAAGAGGCGGGGTACATGGGCCCATTGCAGAGTTACGGGCCTGGGCAGCTAGCAAGGGGAGGCCCATTAATTCGGCCAGCATCCTATGGACAAAAAATGGAACACACCAGCCATGTGTTGAGGAAGACCCTGAAAGTGGCACTGGATGCAAGACACTGTGGACCGGGCAGCTGCATTGAGGAGGCGGTTGGTCGGGTACACAGGGGCCCTAATGGCAGATTAGGGGCCTGGCAGCGCGTATGTGAGGCCCTTAATCTGCCAGCTCCCGATGACAAAAAATTGGAACACATCCAGCAGTGTGTGAGTGAGACCAGAAAGTGGCACTTTGGAGCATGAGACACTGTGGACCTGTGGTGCAGCAGCATGAGGACGCGGTACAGGGGGCCCATGGCAGTTTATGGGGGCCCGGGCAGCAGCTATGGGAGGGCCCGTAATCTGCAGCCACCGTTTCACCCTATGTCCAAAAAATGGAACACACCCAAGGCAGTAATGTGAGGAGACCTGAAAAGTGGCAACATGACAGAGTGTGGCGATGGACGACTGCAGCAAATGGGAGGCCGAGTATACAGGGACCCATTGAAGACACTCTGGACGCCTGGCAGCACATTGAGGAGCGGGGTACAGGGGCCCATGGCAAGATTACGGGCCTGGCAACAGCAATGGGAGGCCCGTAATCTGCCAGCCACCCTATGACTAAAAAAGGAACACAACAGTAAAACATTGTGAGGGACCTGAATGTGGCACATGTGGCATGAGACACAGCAATGAGGCCGTACATGACCCATGGACACCTGGACCTGGCAGCAGCATGAGGAGGCGGTACGGGGCCCATGGCAGATTACGGGCCTGGCAGCAGCTAATGGGAGGCCCGTAATCTGCCAGCACCCTCTGACACAAAATGGAACCACACCAGCAGTGTGTGAGGAGACCTGAAAGTGGCACATGGCAGAGTGTGTGCGATGGAGACATGCGAGCAATGGAGGCCGTACAGGGACCCATTTGACACAACTCTGGACCTGGCAGCAGCATGAGGAGGCGGTACAGGGGCCCATGGCAGATTACGGGCCTGGCAGCAGCAATGGGAAGTCCCGTAATCTGCCAGCACCCTATGGACAAAAAATGGAACACCAACAACAGCAGTGTGAGGAGACCTGTAAAGTGGCACATGGCAAGAGACACTGTGGACCTGTCAGCTCCGTGCAGTGAGGAGGCGGGTACAGGGGCCAACATGGCAAGATTAGTGGGCCTGGAGCAGCAGCTATGGCAGAGGCCCGTAATGCTGCCAGGACACTATGACAAAAAAATGGATACACACCAGCAGTGTGTGAGGAGACCCATGAAAGTGGCACATGGCAGAGTCACTCTGTGGACCTGGGCTGCCCAAAGCATCGCAAGGAGCTCCGGAGGCGGAACAGGGGGCCCATGGGGGCAGATTTAGGGCCTGGCAAGCACCGCTATGGGTAGGCCCGTAATCTGCCAGCACCTATGACAAAAAATGGAAAAACACACCAGCAGTATGTGAGGAGACCTGAAAGTGGACATGGCAGAGCATTGTGGCGATGGACGACTGCAGCAATGGGGAGGCCCGTACAGGGACCCATGAGACACTCTGGACCTGTGCGCAGCGCATGAGGAGGCGGTGGTACAGTGCCCCATGGCTGAGTTACGGGCGCTGGCAGCAGCAATGGGAGGCCCGTAAATTCTCTCCTGCACCCAATGACAAAAAATGGAACACAACAAGCAGTGAGAGGAGATCCTGAAAGTTGGCACCTGGCATGAGACACGCTGGACCCTGGTCAGCAGCATGAGGAGGGAGGCGGTATCAGGCATGTGGTGCCCATGGCCGATTAGGGGCGCTGGCAGCAGCGTATGGGAGGCCGCGTAATCCTTCCAGCAACCCTATTGACAAATAATGGAACACACCAGCAGTCGTGTGAGGCGTACCTGAAGAGTGCAACATGGCAGTGTGTGGCGCTGGAGACAGCATTCTATGGGTAGGCCGTACAGTCACCCATGCTCACACTCTGGACCTTGGCAGCAGCATGAGGAGGCCGGTAACAGGGGCCCATGGGCAGATTACGGGCCTGCTGCAGCAGCAATGGTAGGCCCCTAATCTGCCAGCACCCTATGACAAAAAAATGGAAATCACACCAGCAGTGTGAGTGAGGAACCTGGAAAAGTGGCACATGTTTGGGGCATGAATTGCATGGCGGGATTTATTCAGTTGTGTTATCAGGAACTGGTGGTTTGAAATCCAGATCTAATCCACGCCTGATTCATTTTCACAAACCGTCGAGTCTCTCCACACTTTGGGTGGGGCTGTCCCGTTCCTCCGCGGAGTTGACAATACCTCCTGCCGACACGAAACCACGATGCTCCGATGCCACGCCTAACTGGCCGGGCATGACAGACTTTCATGGTCAAAGTCAGCTATTTGGGCCAAAGAGTCCATAGTTCTCGTTTCCCAGTAGTCCATGGGGATTGTCTACCCTCGGTTGGCAGGGTGCTGTTCAAGTGAGGCTGGTGAAGAAGAAAGGCGATACCACATCATCGACTGGCAGACTGAGGCGAGCTTGCTGCTGGTGAGAGCTGCACTGGCTGTCCTTACCACCCCACCCCTCCCCTGCTGCCATGGGCAGCGGGATCGTTGGATGCGCACATGGCCCACAGTGTCTGAGGATGGAGTTTGGCACAGGAAAGGCAGAGACGCAGCGTGACTACATAGGTGGTTTTAATAGTACGTTATTTTGGCCTCCCTCTCAGCAAGGTAGTGAAAAAAGGCCACCATTTTTGAACGGTAGATAGCGACGGGTCGGCCAACCAAAGTGGACAGCCAATAAGTAATCCCTCTGTTTGATGGGGTTATTATTCGGCTGTCGCTACGCAAGCAACAAAGGGGAAATACCTTTTTTCCCCTTGTAACATCAGGAAATGGTGGTTGGCCTTTTTCCGGGGATTTTGTAAAAGGGGGGTCTAACAAAGTGTAGGGTTGAATTCCCCTTGTTGCAACGTCCCCAGATCAGGCCCAAAGCTGTTGGGGAAATTTCCTTTTGCCGCTGCAGCTCAAGGAGGGGGTCGTTTGGGGGTGTAGGAAATTTCTGGAAAAGCATGCAAATTTACGTGACATTTTAAGGAAAGTCTTTTCAGTTGGGGTGGTGGAATTTTTGGAACCGCTTGCAAAACCCGAAATTGAAAAACGTGAGCCAAGCAGGGCGCATGGCCAACCATTCCTTTATGCAACAGAACCATGGGTTTTTTCCCGGGTTTTTGGTTTAACATGGGTTTTCCCATTTTTTAAATTTGCGCGGAGGGCAGCCCTCTGTCATTTTTCTGTTAAATTTCACGAAAGTTCCCCCCCTTTTTGGACTACGTTCGGGCCCAAGGGGGAACAAAGGGGCAGCACAGCCCTGACCCCCGTTGCGCCCTGCAAAATGTTTTATGCCGGTTTGGGTAAAAAGGAAATTTGGGACGGGGGGGGAGGGTGAGGGCACGGCGGAAAAAAAGAGGTGGTAAGGCGGACATCTTTGCCCCGGGCCAAGGACCGGGGCAAACCCTGGAGGGAAAAAGCGGCGTTAAACCCGTCCAAGTTGCTGGTGGGCTTTTGACGGGGAAACCCACGTTTTTACCCAGTGGGCCAAAAAGCTGGGACTTTCCCCGGGCCGTATTACGCTCCATAAAGTCGGGGGCTGCCCCTGCACTTTTTGGGAGAAAACCGACAAAAATCAAAGAGGCCCACCACTCTTCTACCTTGGAAGCAGGGCTGGCACTTTCCTTTTTTTCCCAAGAAATGGGCGGCTTGGGGACTCTCCACCCGGGGCGGCACAAGCCAAACATTTCTCGGAAGGTTTCGAGTCCCCCAAATTGGAAAGGGGGGACTGGGCCGCCCGCAAATTGGACAGGAAAGGGCGTTCAGCTTTTTTCACCGTCGGGGTTTCGGGGCTCGCAAAAATTTGTTTTCTTTTGGGAAAAGGATTCCAAAAAGACTGCGACGGGAAAACCGTGAAAGAGGGGGTAGCAGGAAAGGACCATGAACGAGCGGGGGAAAAGCCCAAAAGAGCCGGGAAAAATCCCCTCAGCAAGGTTTTTGGAAACCTTGACTGGCTGATAGAGGGGGATTGGGCGCGGGGGGGACGGAGCAAGTAACGGAGGGGTGGGTGGGGCGGGGGGGTGGGGGGGGGCAGAACCGCCCCCAAACTTTATCCGGTTTTCCCAGGCCACCCCAAGGCGACGCGGGTTTTGCTGCCACCAAAGCGTGTCCCAAAATGGGCCCCCTGGCCCCGGGTTTACTTTCTTTTGGGCCCCATTTGTCGACCCTAGGCTACGTTACTTCCCCGGGGGCTTGACAAAAAATTGCCAACCCGCCGAGTAGGAAAAATTTGCCCCCGATACCCCTCACCTGGCTGAAAAATGCGCTTTCCCCCCGTGCCCCACCCCGGGACCACCCACTGGCCGTTGGGGGGGTAGGCTGCAAATGGAGCGGTGCTGAGCTCCCTGGCCCCTTTGCCTCCACTGACCTGCTGCCACCCTGCTGCCATTTTGGGCAAAAACCCCCCGAATTGTTTTGCCCCGGCTGCCAAAGCTGGCCACCCCTCTTCTCCTGATGATGCGGAAGCAATAGCCTGAAGACGGGCGAGGCTGCCCAAATTTGGGTTCAGCCTCCTCAAACATCAAATTAGGGTTTTCCGCCTCCAAAGCCCCCCCCGGCTGCGGGGGTCAGGAGACGAAACCCGTCTCAACCGGGGGGTTCGAGCCAAATTCCCCCGGGCCCCTACTTTTTCGCCTGGCCTTTCCCGAAGAGGTGGGATGTCTCCCCCCGTTCCCAAACCGGGCCCTCTGTTTGCCCCTTCCCCACTGGGACCGGGGGGGCTGAGCCCACAGCATACCCATACTTCGCTTGGTGAGGGAAACCAAAGGACAGGGGCAGGCGAGGACACGTGGGTTTTTATGGGGGCCCTTTCCCCCCCGGCCATTTCCAACTAACGGTTTTTTGTGTCTGATTTCCCACCCCACCCTTGGCTGTAGGTTTTCAAGGGGGACCTGGGAAAAAGAGGGAAAACGACCCCAGCCAACCAATCGATGATGGGGAGGGGTTTTCGGTGGAGACACCCGCTTGGGTGACACCGGGAGCACGGCCTCTGGCTGCGGGCTATGCTGCCCCCGACCCCTTCCTCTGAGAAAGTCTGCTGGGTCCTAAAACATTGCCTTTCCCCTGCCCCCCTATTTCAAAAGTTTTTCTGACATTCTCTTTAATTTAAAAGATTTTTGTGCCCTGGGGTAAACATTCTTTGGTTTTGTCCCTGAGGAACAATTCTGTGGGCCCTGGGTAACAAATTTTGTGTCCCCCATAACAAAATTCCCGTGTTCCCTCGTAAACCCAAATTTTGTGTCCGTCCCTGAGTAAAAAATTTCTGGGTTCCCCCCGAGTAACAATTTGGTTTTTCCCCCAGTAACAATTCTGTTTTCCCTGATAACAAATTCTGTGTCCCCCGAGTAACAATTCCCGGTCCCTGAGTACAATTATGGTTTTTTTTCCCCATAACAATTTCTGTTCCCCTCATAACAATTCTGTGTCTGTCCCTGGGGTAACAATTCTGTGTTTTGTTCCCCGAGTAAAAAATTCTGTGTCCCTCAGTAACAAAATTTTGTGTTGTCCCGGGGTAAAAAAATTTGGTTGTCCCTGAGTAACAATTTTCCCCGGTTTTTCCCATTTAAAAATTCTGTTCCCCCAGTAAAACAATTTTTGTGTCCTTTATAAAAATTCTGTGTCCCCTTTATAAAACTTCTGGTTTCCCCCAAATAAAAAAATTTTGTGTCCCTAGTAAAAAATTTTTGTATCCCTAGTTTAAAAATTCTTTTGTCCCTAAATAACAAATTGTGTCCCTCAGTAACAATTCTGTGTCTGTCCTGAGTAACCACTTCTGTGATCTGTCGCTGAAGTAACAATTCTGTGTCTGTTCCACTGAGTAACAATTTCTCTGTGTCCCTCAGTTAAACAATTCTGTGTGTCCTCTTATTTTTATGTCTTTTTTTTGTTCTTTTTTCTTCCTGTGTTCGCAATATGTTGTTCTTTCCTGCAGTTTTTCTATTTTCGTCGTCACTTTTTTTTTTTTTTTTTTTTTTTGAGTTAAACTTATGTGTACCTGTCTACTCATTTCTGTCTTTTCACTAAAATTCTCTTTCTCTTTTGTAACATTTCTGTATTTTTCCCTGTATGTAAACAATTCTTTGTCCCTCGTAAACAATTTCTGTTTCTGTTCACTCAGTTGACATTTTTTTTATTTTTTTTTTATTATTTTATCGCTGTGTCAATTTTTAACTATTTCTTTTTTTTCTTTCTTTGTTACAGTTCTTTTTTTTTCGATTTTTTATTTGCAATATCTAGGTTGTTTTTCAGTTACAATCTTCTGTTGAATTATGTGTTTTGATTAAACATTTTTTGTTTCTTTTTTTTTTATTGTTTGTTCTAGTGACCTATTTGTATTGTTTCTTTCGTTTTTTTTTTAATTTTTTGTTGCTTTTTGTTTTATATTTCGTTTTTCAGGTTTTTTTTTTTTTGTTTCTTCTGTGAGCATTTGTCACTGTTTGTGTGTATTTTTGTTTATTGATTTCTGTTTTTTTTTGTAACGTTTCTGTTTTTTTTTTTAAATTTTTTTGTTTTGTTTTATGTAAACTTTTTACTTTGGCTTTTTGATTTTACGTTGTTTTGTGTTCGTTTTTTAACGTTTCTTGTTTTTGTTATTGTATACTTATATGTCTGTATCTGCTCAGTTGGTCTTTTCTTGTTGTGTTTTATTTGTTCCCTGAGTTCCTGTTTAATTTTGTGTTTTTTTTGTAACAATTCTGTGTCTGTCCCTTTTTTGTAACAATTCTGTGGCACCTTGTAAGTAAATGTTTCTTTTGTGGCCCTAAGTAACATTTCCTGTTTTCCTCAGTAACAATTCTGTGTCCAATCTGTAACAATTCTGTGTCTTGTATTTTTTTTGTGTTTTTTTTCTGTTTTGTTTAAGTATGCGTTTTTTTTTTTTATTAGTAATGTTTGTTCTTGTGGCTTTTTTGGTTTATTTTTTTTGTGGTTTGTCAGTATTTGTTAAATTGTTGTGTATGTAATAAGTTTGAGGAATTATAGTTGTTCTTTGTAAATGCTTGTCGTGTGGCCTTTTAGTAACAATTCTGTGTCTTCAGTTTGTA